GGCCTCGACCTGCCGTCCTTCGGATACACACTCCTCTACTCCTGCCAGCCGGGATTCATCCTCACCGGCGGCTCCGAGCACCGGGCGTGCCGACCCGACGGGTCCTGGACCGGGAAAGTGCCTGTTTGTAGAGGTAACCAGTCCAACACCGCATCAATATAACACACACACACACACACACACACACACAGAAGATCAGTGCAGAATCCAGATGTGTGTTCAGTCTGAACTTTGTGTCCCGCAACTCTTCTTTAGTTTGTGTTTGTGTTGTCGAGGCGGAAGCCGTCTGGTGTCGATGTGGGAAGTCGTGTGTGAAATGTGTTTCCTCAACCCGTTTGGTTGGTGCAGTGATGTGTGTTGTGGTGTCTTTCAGCTGGCTCGAAAACATCAGAAAAAGTCATAACACCTGTTCAAGGAACAGCGAGTCCCAAAGTCAACGGTGAGTCTGTAAAACGCCACATGCAATCTGTATAATGTGCATCTATTTACATGAATATGAAGCTGTGTTTTAAAGGTAAGCCATTTGCCTGGGAATGATATGGATATTATTATAGGGGACAGGGATGGTAAGTTACATTGATTTTACCACGGTTAAGAGAGATTGAGCTTTTTCTATCTTATTTCATTGAGATAAGGGTGTTCAAAGGCACATTGCATTACATTGCACATTTCTTTTATAAAACGGCAGCAACAGCAATAAGATAAACATCAACATTATTATAAATAAATAAATAATTTTTGCTTTCATCAATTGACAGCAACAGCAATATAATAAACAAAATTGATCATAATTATAAATAAATAAATATTATTGATTTTATAAAACTGCAGCAATAGCAATATAATAAACAAAATTGATCATAATTACAAAAAATAAATAAATATTATTGATTTTATAAAACTGCAGCAATAGCAATATAATAAACAAAATTGATCATAATTATAAATAAATAAATATTATTGATTTTATAAAACGGCAGCAATAGCAATATAATAAACAAAATTGATCTTAATTATAGGTAAATAAATATTATTGATTTTATAAAACTGCAGCAATAGCAATATAATAAACAAAATTGATCATAATTATAAATAAATAAATATTATTGATTTTATAAAACGGCAGCAACAGCAATATAATAAACAAAAGAAAATTGATCATAATTATAAGTAAATAAATATTATTGATTTTATAAAACGGCAGCAACAGCAATATAATAAACAAAATTTATCATAATTATAAATAAATAAATATGATTGATTTTATAAAACTGCAGCAATAGCAATATAATAAACAAAATTGATCATAATTATAAGTAAATAAATATTATTGATTTTATAAAACGGCAGCAACAGCAATATAATAAACAAAATTGATCATAATTATAAATAAATAAATATGATTGATTTTATAAAACGGCAGCAACAGCAATATAATAAACGAAATTGATCATAATTATAAATAAATAAGTATTATTGATTTTATAAAACTGCAGCAACAGCAATATAACAAAATTGATCATAATTATAAATAAATAAATAATATTAATTTTATAAAACGGCAGCAACAGCAATATAATAAACAAAATTGATCATAATTATAAATAAATAAATATGATTGATTTTATAAAACTGCAGCAATAGCAATATAATAAACAAAATTGATCATAATTATAAGTAAATAAATATTATTGATTTTATAAAACGGCAGCAACAGCAATATAATAAACAAAATTGATCATAATTATAAATAAATAAATATGATTGATTTTATAAAACGGCAGCAACAGCAATATAATAAACGAAATTGATCATAATTATAAATAAATAAGTATTATTGATTTTATAAAACTGCAGCAACAGCAATATAACAAAATTGATCATAATTATAAATAAATAAATAATATTAATTTTATAAAACGGCAGCAACAGCAATATGAAAAACAGTCAGCAAACATGATTATAATTCAAATAAATATATACGTAAATAAATATTATTTCTTATGATCTAGTAAATTAATCAATATATTAAATTAGTAAATTATTAGTAAATTAATCACCACATACATTATTATTATTTATTCAGGTTATTAATCTGAATAATTCTTCTATATTACAGGTCATTAACTGTAGGCTGCTTGCAGTTGTCTAGAAATATATGTATATATTTTTTTAAGTGTTCATTTAAACAGGAGAGAACCGGTATAGAATAAATATAGCAACATATATACAACATAAAATAGCATTTTATTGTCTTTTTGCAACTTGAAACGCTGTTTAGAGTGTGTTTATATACAGCTTTATTAAGCATTGTGTTTGTGTGGTTTCTGTTCAGAGGTCGTTCACAGGGAGATCCGTGGAAAGAGTTTGAGGTGTTAATTGAAATGTTAATTGCGTGTAAAACCTCGTTAAATCTTCTCATTGCAGTTCCTGACGATGTGTTCGCGCCCACGTACGTGTGGAGAGGTTCGTTTGAGTATAAAGGAGTGAAACAGCCGATGACTTTGACGATCACTAGCTTTAACGCGACGTCGGGGAAAGTCAACGTGACGTTAACCAACAGGCACTCGGAGCTGCTGTTGTCGGGTAAGAAGCTCGTGTCATACACACTCATGTATGATCTGAGCTGTTAAACACATCCTGGCAGGAGCCGTGGGGAAATATCACTTACTGATGTGCCTTTAGTGCTTCTCCTCAACACTGGAAACGCCACGATATGCACAATTACGGGAGAGTACATCTGATTTTTACTGCAATATCAGTCAGAATCACTACAGTACCGGTCTTACTTGGACTTCATTTGTCTGATCAAAAACACAGTAAAAATTTTACGATTTAAATCATCTGTTTTCTATGTGAATATACAGTAAAGTGTAATTTATTTCTGTGATCAAAGCTGAATTTTCAGCATCATTACTCCAGTCTTCAGTGTCACATGATCCTCCAGAAATCACTCTAATATGAGGATTTTCTGCATAACATGTTGTCAGCGCTGTCCCTCGACTTTATCAGTGAAATCGTTTCGCAACTGAAAAGCTACAAGACATTTCTCAGTATGATTGTAGTTATTGAAGCAGATAAACGTACAGCTTCCCTGTTAGCGGAGGCTCTGCAGACGAACACTGATACGCTTTCGTTTGTAAACGCATCTTTTTCTCTCCGCTTTGGCCTTCCATCCACACAGAAGCCTTATTAAAACACCCTCCAAAGTGGATAAATGTGAAAAGCTGTTTTCTCCTTGTAGTGTGGACTGTCAAAACTGAGGTATTTAAAAACGATGACGTAAGTTTAGTCACGTGACACATATTGTACTAATAGATATTGATGTTTATACCGGTGTTGTGCCTGTTATGAGCTGTTCACTTTCACACTGTTGCTTAAATATGTTACTTTACACACACTTCATATCACAGTCCTGCAAAGATGACAGAATGCTGAGGTATTTTGCTAAATAAAATGATCCTGCCAGAAGAATTGAGCGATAACTTTATCACTTATCTTTCCGCCTGCATCTCAGTGAGCTTTGGTGAGGTTTTACCCAAAGGTGAATTTAGCGTTCTCCAAAAGTTTCGCATCCACACTGAAACGTTTTTAAACAAAGACGAAGTTTTCAAATGTATTATCTGGATTAAAGTAGCCTAGATGTACCCTCATGCCTCGTTTACACGAAGGGAAGACGCAGATATTTCCCTGCGTTTGGCCTCTCATTTACACGAAAACCCCGTTTTTAATCACAGAAAACGATTATTTCTAAAAACTCTGGAGATTTCTGGTAACGGCGGTTATGTGTTGCGGTGTGAACTGGGAGAAACGGGGTTTTAGGTTCTCAAACGTCACATTATGCGCCAGAAAATGCTTCACGTCACGTGAGCGCCCAGTTTGAAACGCTACCTTTTGAATTGTTTGATTTTTTTTGCTTCATCGGATGGGGGTGAAACTTGGTGACTTTTGTTGTATTACCTATATGAACACATAAAAAATCAAGGAGATGATTCTGATATGTTAAAGGGTCGTAAAAAAAATAGTCACACTTAGCTTCCTCCCGGTCAAAAATGACCGACATAGGAAATGAATGGGAAATACGAAAAAATAGGAAAACTCAGAGAAACTTTTGGTGGTACAAGCTACAGATCAGCCACTGTGGAGAAAAAAAGTGTACAGCAATGAAGGGGCGACGCTCTAAAACATCAAGAGTGCAAATAAGACCCCCCTCCCCCCCCCCCCCCCCACACACACACACACACACACACACACACACATACACAGATAAACTGGCAAGACTGCAACAGCAAATTTATAGAATATGCAAAAATAAAATCAATAAATGAAAAAAAATCTCGCTCAAATGCACACACACACACACAGAAAGAGAGAGAGAGAAAGAGAGAGAAAAAATACCAATTTATTGCAAAATGTCTGTATAAAGTGTTTTGAATTATCACTAACCATCCCTTATTTTGTTCAATTATTTGAATGATCAAATACTGAGTAATAAAAATGTTTGCATTGTGTTTCCTTTCTAACCAAATGCTATAGTTTGATTGTAATCATAATGTAAAACCTGATACTTATCTAAAAATAATTGTTAAAAAAAAAAGTAGTCGTCTTTTAGAATATCTAAATGTATAACTAAATAAAATAAAAAACGAATAAGAAAGAGAAATCACGTCTAAAACAACAAAAGGAATCAAAAAGCCTTTCTATGTATTTATAGGAAGCTATAGGCAGCCTACAGGACATTGCACACATGTAACTATTTTTTAAAGCCACTAGATGGCGCTCTTCTACTTGAACATTTTTTTTTTTTTAGGCTGGCACTCTATTTTGATGTGAAATGTTGCAATTATTGTTTTTTTTTTTAATAAATAGAAAATAAAAATATATATATTAATTCTAATGGAAAAAAATAGCTCATAAAAATTATATAATTAATGCAAAGTATCATAAAAAACTCAAACAATTCTAAATAATAATTAGAAAATATTATAGAACAAAAATATATTTGATTGGTTATCCTGGGAAAAAATAAAGTTACATTTTAAGGCTTCGTCCGTTTTTGACCGGGAGGAAGCTAAGTGTAACCCATTTACGAAGAAGCCCAGAGAGTTAAACGAAAACGCCGTTTTCACATGTATCCGCATTAATGTAGACGTACAGAGACACACAGACCGACACAGAGGAGCGTTTTAAGGACAAAAACCTGACAGATACATCATCTGTACCACATATTTGATATTATTGTAAATATGATTGGCCATTCATTTGCATTAATGAGCGTGTTCCTCATCCTCACAGGTGTGTATAAGAGCCGAGCGGCCCGTCTGACGCTGCGTCTGCATCACATGCGGTCTCTGGTGAAGAGCAGCTTCAGTCAGATCTCTGAGCAGACCCTGATCATGGACGGCTTTGTGAGTCTCCTCACACTCACGCTTCATAACTCAACTACAGCTGAGCGCTTCTGACAATAGTGCATGCAAGAGCTAATCAAACCCTCAGGGGATATCGGGTGGATATATGGGCGAGCGAGGCACAAACTAGCACACATGGGTTACAGCTTTCCACACACGCCAGCATGACGAAACTTAGTGTATTTACTAGTTGCCATATCAACACTATATAGAGAAAAAATGGGTAACACTTTACTTGAAGGGGTGTGCATAAGACTGACATGACACCTTCATAATCATGACATGACACATGAAGGAGGTTTTATGCATGTTTATGACAACTGTCATTTTTAATGCAAATATGAGATAGTTTGAGATGTCTTTGTTATGACAACTTGACATAAACCAATACATCATAGCCTGTCATAAATATGTCATAAACATGACATAGCAGATTAATTATCAAACTGAAGAAACCACTTAGCTTTATGGTTAACATTACATTAAACTGTCAGGTGGTTGGTTTTGACATTGGCTGTCATGAGGCATTATAACTGTGTCATGAATATTTTTCTTGACCTCGACTACAGTGGTACACATTGAATTTGTCATTACAATGTTATAATGGCCTCATGACAGCCAATGTCAAAACCAACCACCTGACAGTTTAATGTAATGTTAACCCATAAAGCTAAGTGCTTTCTTAAGTTTGATAATTAATCTGCTATGTCATGTTTATGACAGGTTGTGTTGTCTTAGTAATGTCAAGTTGTCATGACAAAGACACTGACAGGTTATGATGTATTGGTTTATGTCAAGGTGTCATAACAAAGACATCTCAAACAATGTCATGTTTGCATTACAAATGTCATAATTGAGTGAATGACACTTAATGACAGTTGTTATAAACATGCATAAACCCTCCTTCATATTCATGACATGATTATGAAGGTGTCATGTCAGTCTTATGCACACCCCTTCAAGTAAAGTCTTACCAAAAATGTGCCAAAATTAAAACATTTTTGAGATATCGCCGAATATTTATTTAAGAATAGCAAAAGTAAATTTCTTATGTTAATTTTTCATCTGTTCTTTGTTTATTTAAAATGAGACAAATCTAATATTATTTTAATCTTATATCTGTTATTTAACAGTTGAGATAGTTGTTTAATGCTGATCTAACAGCAGAAACACTCGCCGGGTTTAAACACCAGTTGCTCAGGCGGGGCATGTTGTCACACTGCGTTACAATGAACTATGATATTATATTCTATACTTTTATGAATTATATTGAGAAACCATGAGTCAATGTTCAGAAATTATTAGTTTTTAATATGTTTTGAACTATGCTGTATAGCTGTTTTGCGGTGTGTATGTTGTCAAACTCAAAAATTCGTTTTCTTAATTATTAAAAAATGACATTATTTTATATGAAAAAGTTAATAATTGTATTTTATTAATATTTTATATGTGATTATGAACCCCAGCTGTGGGGCATGTTGTCACATTTCACTTCCATTATTTCGGGGTAAATCAAGAATAAAGTAAACACTGTATTAATGAAACAAAACCATATAATTGTACTAGACGTGTGAAATTAATGAGGGAATAAATAAATACTATAGTGGATTTACACAAACTGAGAAAGTCAACAAGTGTTAGGTTGTGCCCCGCTCTCCCCTACTTTTATATTATGGAAGCTTGTTTCCGCCACTAAATAAAAAAAATATCTAAATAATTGCGACTTTTTATCTCACGATTGCGAGATATGAAGTCAGAATTGTGAAAAATAAAGTCGCAATTGCGAGAGATAAAGTCGCAACTCTGAGAAATAAAGTCGCAATTGCTAGATATAAAGTCGCTATTCTGAGAAATAAAGTCGCAATTGCGAGATATAAATTCGCAATTATGAGAAATAAAGTCGCAATTGCGAGATATAAAGTCGCAACTGAGAAATAAAGTCGCAATTGCGAGATATAAAGTCGCAACTGAGAAATAAAGTCGCAATTGCTAGATATAAAGTCGCTATTCTGAGAAATAAAGTCACAATTGCGAGATATAAAGTCGCAATTATGAGAAATAAAGTCGCAATTGTGAGATATAAAGTCGCAAC